TATGAATAATACAATTTTGCATTCACCTTTATCAACTCGAAGAGGATATGATGAAGATGAGAAGGCACATAAGTTAATCGGATTGCTCCGGTTTCATCAGCTAAATCAATACGTTTAGAAATAATGGAGCAAATACCATTTAGTAATCTTGTAGAAATGTCTGGAGAGCCGGCGTAATAGTGTTCACAGAGATATTTTGCATCATGATACGCGTTGTCCAGAATTTCTACAACATTGCAGTTAGGATCAATAGATCCCACGAATCGCCTTTCTTTATTTAGTTCCGGACCAAAAAGTAAAACTAGATACGATAGTCAAGAGGTAAAATGTACCATGCTGATTAATAAGCATTCGTATGCTGATGCGCATCATGTAAAATCTATCCAGGAAATATTGGACTTGATTGTTTATAACCATATCTGACCCGTGCCGCTCTTGCATTTCCATTACACCCTAGATCTAGTTAGGGCTATAATTAAATAATTAACTTCCGCCATTGTTTCAACAACGCGAGAATGTCTGTCCCGAATCCCAGCAAGCATGTCGGTGAACTTGTCGAGATTTTTACCTTCAAGAGCATGATCCTCAAAATCAACTAGCTCACGAAAGCTCTGCTCGTACCTGGGGGTGAGCTAAAGGAAATTTACCAGCCCACAACCATTGATGCAGATGGAGTTTGTACTAGACGCTCTGGAAGGAGGTGTATTTCTTGCATTATATTGGCTAGTCTGACTGGGAGTTCTTCCAGCAAAAACTTGGCGGACTCTTGGGCGCTACCAGCCTGCCCTTGTAAGCCAGAATTAAGAGGAATTCAACTAACCGAATACGGTCAATTTTTTAAGTGACAGAGGCGTTGGAGAATAGGCTCCATATTTGACAAACCGTTCTGCGTACTGCCCAGTGAGGGCCGCTAAGTACTTAGTCAATTTCATGATATTTTTAAAGAAAGATTAACATAAGAAGAAAAAGAAGGAGCAAGCCAAGAGTAGATACGAAAAGGGAGGGCAAGGTTTGGTGAGACCGAACAAGCCCA